TGGAAGAGCAGAAGAGGTGATAGACCTGTAAAGTTCAGGAGTCAGGGATGGAGGGAGGAGAGGCACAACTGAATTGTTGGGGCTGAAAGTTGTCCTTCAGTGATTCCTTCCCTCCCCAGCCCCAGCTGGAATTGCCATCCTGATCCACTCCAGGTGTCAATCCGTTTGTCTGCCCTAATTCTTCTTTACCTTGAAGGGATGGAGAGCAGAGTGCCAGATCTGCTGGGGAGTGTGGAAAACACCCCCTCCACCCCAGGGAGGCACTTTGGGGAGCACAGGAACACCTCAGCCTGCTCTGGATGTGCTGGGAACTCAGGGTTTGGATCAGGAAAAGCCTTCCTGGGCTGGGTGGGGAGGCACAGAGGCTGCTGTGTGTCCCTCCAGTGTAGTTGTGGTGGTTTCAGTGTGGAAGCTTTACTCAGTGAGTAAACTGGACCCAAATGGCAGAAGCAGAACGTGGAGGTGTGGAGTGGTGGTGGGAGTTGCTCCTGTGCACACAGGCACACCCTGTAAGGAAGGTTGGCTTCACAAGGAGGGCCCATGGGCACCTCTTGGGTCTGTGTCCTGCTGGCATCGTGCAGTTGGAGAGATACAGGATGAGGCTTAAAGTTTTCCAGAAAAAAAAATGGTTTGGTCCTTCTGCTTTCCGTGGCAGCACAGTGCTCCAGTTTCTGCAGCACCACCCTGGAGATCCCTCTGGAGCCAGTGCTGGCTTTTGGAGGGCACTCAGCCTGTGGGTGACAGCGTCAGTGACCAGGGGCTGCGCTGGGTCTGAGCAGCTCCTCGTGCAAAAGAGGAGTTGAGAATCCCAAAGAGGAAAGTAGGAGGGATGACTGGAGAATACTGTGTGTTCTTGTGCTGGGCTAGATCACTTGCATTAAATTCAGAGACTTTCTGGGTACAATTAATAGTCATTTTATTTAGGTCACCCTGGTTTTGTTGCTTTAAATGTATGCCTCCATTAAAATGGAAGAAAATCAAATACATTTATCTCCGTGGAGCCTTTTGTGAACTGGTTGGGCATATTTTAAATAACCCTGGGAACTGTTAGGATTATTAAAGCCTTTGGCTCCTCCAGGTTTTTTTTTCTTTCCTCCTATTCTCCCCTATTCCTCCTTCCAGGCAGTGAGTAATGAAGTGGTAGAGCCCTTCCTTTTCTCAGAGCCCCAAGTGGATTGGAAAAAAAAGAAGTTAAATAAACTGAAGCCCATTAGTTAGGCTTTATGTAAGAAACTGGGTCTGCATTGGCTGTATGGATGGGCTGTGCTGGGACAGAGAAGTCTGGGGGCCTGAAGTGTCCATTTTTAACCAGTGTTCATTGGCAAATCTGTTTTCTTCTTTTTTTTTAGTTACCTCAAGTCCTGAGACTGTTCATTTTGTACCTCTCATTGATGCTCAGAATGAGTCTGCATTAATCAGCTCCTTCAAGGCTCCATCTGGAGCCATGCTCCATGTGAGGAGGCTGCCTTGGGTTCCCTGCTGGTGTCTGAGTGCCCTGGGAGGGGGTGGCTCAGCCTCCCCTCCTGTGCTGGGGCATCCAGGGCTTCCCTGGGGCTGGGGTCCGGCCAGCAGCACATGGTGGGTGATGTCCAAGCCTTGAGGGTGGCAATTCCATCTTCCAGTCCTGCTTCTAGCCCAGGAAAAGCCTTCCTTGCCTCTTGTGTGCAGAGTGAGAGCTGCATGTTTTGAGCTGAGACCTGGAGCAGTTGCAGTTGAGCATCTCTGGATCTCGGCGAGGCAGGGGCTGGAGGAGGGGTTAACTTGGGCACTCACAGCCCTGAATGTGCTCGAGTTTCTGCTGTGGGCTGGTTTTTTTTCTTCCCTTCCCCTGAAACAGGGATCAATTTGCTTAGTGCAGGGTTTACTGGCGGTTACCTTGACTGTGTCCCTTATTTCTCCTTGATGAGAACTTGAACAAGCCGCTTGTGTTTGCCTCCCAGAGAACCGTGAGAAACGGGCTGTGTGTGTGAGGCACTGTGGTTTGCTCATTCTATTCAGCCCTTTGTATATTCAAATTCTTCTAGTTTGAGTTCTTGCTGTTCTGCCAGATTTCCATACCATTGATGGGTTTTCTGCATTAATAAGTTTCTCTCCCCCCTCCCTCCCATACCCTCGCCACCTTTTTGCAACTGGTGAAAAGTTTTTCTGAGCCCTCTCCACATTGATTTTCTTCTCCTGCTTGTCTCACCAGCTCTCAGATGTTTTATTTTGCAAAGCGTTAATAGAATTTTCCTTTTGCCACTGCACTTTATCTATTCAGGAGGTTTCAAGAAGTCTCATTGTGTCACTGGACTATGGAGGAAAGAGGCTATTCTTCTGCTACAATGGCTGCCCTAAAAAATAACGCAGGGTGGGGTAAGCACAGAAAGGGCAGAGACGGAGATAAAATGTTCTGACCTTAGGAAAGAGAAAAGATAACCAATTAGACATTGTTGAAAGGGCACCAGCTGGCTCAAAGAGCACCCCACTGATCATTTTTTCTTCAAGGCATACTTGGGCCGCGACTGAACTCAGCTGCAGAGACGCTCCCCCCGTGCAGGTTTCATGTGTGCAGTGTCGGGGCTGACCCTTTTCCAGGAGCTGCTGCCCAGCCCTGATGCCAGCAGTTGGTGCTGCTGGAGGGGGGCAGTGCCCACTGCAGGGTGCCTGTGCTCCTCGGGGCCCCGGGAACCTCCCTCCTGGATTAGCCCTGCAGCCCGTGCTTGTTACTGCTAATAGGGATTTATTTGCATGAAAAAGATGCCTGCCAAGATCATCATTCCAGCTTGGTACACATGGCACAGAGCCCTGTATGCCCAGAGGATGGTGTTGTGTTGGACAGGTGGGAGAAGGGAAGGGAACTGCAGAGCCCAATGTGGCTGGGGGCTGCAGCCAGAGCCCCTCAGCCCTGCAGGGCTGGGTCTGGTGCCATTATCAGCCCCTCCTCTGCCCCTCAGCCCTGCAGGGCTGGGTCTGGTGCCATTATCAGCCCCTCCTCTGCCCCTCAGCCCCTGAGGAGCTCTTGAGGCTGCACAGGAGCTCTGGGGTGCTGCTGCTGCCTGCAGTGACTGAGGCATGGCCATGCTGGAGCATCTCTTCTCTCCCTAACCAAGCCAGCAGTGTTTTTGCAGTCCCCAGCAGTGTCCTTGCAGGAGGAGGTGTCATTTTGGCAGGACAGTAGAGCCTGCACTCAGCCTGGGGGGACAGGAGACATCCCTGTGCTCCTGCACATCCAAGAGCTCCAGGGGTTCTGGGATGGGGTTGGAGAGAGAAAATTCCATATTGAACCTTTTGCAGCAGGGGTTGGTTGGGTGGGGACAGAGGGTGGCACTGGGAGCTGTGATGCCCCAGGAAACAGCAGCAGGTGCAATGTGTAATTTTTGCTTCCAGTGAGGCCAAGACCTGCAAGAATGAAAAATAAGGATTGCTGAGCAAACATAACCCTGGAGCAGAGATAAGCAGGGTGAAGGGCAGCCTGGTCCTTATCTGCCTCCTGGTATTGCTCATCCTGGGGAGTTTTCCCCCCTGGAGGGCAGACAGACAGCAGGACAGAGGGCTCTGTGCCTAATGCAGTTTGGGTTTTTCAGTGCATCAGCATCTTTAGGTCTCAGACAAGATGGGTATCAGGAGACCTGCATTTCTGCACCCTCTCAGGCCACTGCTGGCACTTTCTACAAAACATTTTGACTGAAAAAGTTAAGAACAACTTAAGCAGAGATGAGTTTTCAGATGCATTTCAGGCATCATGTAAGGTTTTGCTGTGCTGTATTTCTTTACAATCTCCTGGAACATATTACAGTCCTTCAGAACCTCAGGGAGGTTCAACTTGTGTTTTCACCACCTTCCCAAACTCTTCCTCCCCAGCCAAGGCTGAGAATTTTTTCACAGACATAGGCTGGATGTCTGTCTGTCGCCTAAGAGGACACTTGGGGGGACAGGTGGACCCTTCAGTGGCACTGGGTGAGATGAGGAGAGCATGTAAGTGCATTGTAGATCACTTAGCTGAAATAAATGATTTATGGAAAGCCAGAGTACAAGCTCAAGAAAGCACAGAAAAATTATTGGTGGGGAAAAAAACCCCAAAAACCTCAAACAAACAAACAAACAAATCCCAAAGCCACACCCCAGACAAGCAGTGGAGTCCTTTAGAGGATGAAACCTTTTCTTTAAAGTTCTTCTCCCTTCCTGCAACACCTTCTGTAATTCAGTGTTAGAGGTTTTCATCATCCCTGAGTTTACAGCAGGGGATTGCAAGTTTAATTTCATCTCAGAGCTTGTCCAGGCCATGTCCAGTGCACATGGACCCACCTGCCCCAGTCCTGCAGCCCCAGAACAGCAGCTCAAGGTGTGGTAATGCTGGGGAATCAACCCCAGCACCACATCCTTGTGCAATAAGTGCAAAATTTTAGGTGTGGCTGCACAGATTAAATGGAGGTGGAATAAATCATGCAAATCCTAATGAAAGTTGAAAGCAATTTGGTTGCACTTCAATACGTTTCATCAGTCATCTCTCTTCTGAAGTGGAAATGCCGAGCCTGATGCGAATTAAAGTTTCTCCCTCCTCCCTCTCCCCTCTCTCCTGCAGCTTTTCAAAAGCCCTTTTGAAAACCTCTGAATACCTTTCTTGGCTGACCAGATTTTACCCTGCTCGTACCTCTTTTAACCTAATTCTCAAGCAAGACAGTGACTCTAAATTTGGAGGAGTCATGGGCTTGATTTGCATCCACGCTTCCTCCCTTGGCCCTTGCCGGTCTCTCTGCGAAAGGGAGATGAGGCACGGCCAGGGACTGATGTGAAGTGGAAGAGCTGCTGAGATATTTGGCTGTTCAGTGGTCACTGCTCTGCTTCAGGATCAGCTGTCAGCAGGGCAGGGAGGGGGACACCAACAGGATCCCAGGGGGAGGAGCTGCCCCTGGCCAGAACCAAGGGGTTCTGCTCTGCCTGTCCCCCTCCCTGGTGTGTGTGGTGTGTCTGAGCTGCCAGCTGTGTTAAAGCACAACTCTCCCCTCTTTGTCTTGCAGGTAGAGGATGCCATGCTAATGTTTGACAAGACGACCAACAGGCATAGAGGTAAGAGGGACTGGGGGCTCTCACCTCGCTGTGTGTGGCAGCTTCTGCATGGGGGACCAAAAACCAGATTCAGTGAGATGAGCCAGTGGCTAAATCATGGCACTAAATCCTCTGTCCTGCAGCTAGCAGAGGAGGGGTGGTTGGCATGGAATGCCCCATGCACGTGGATTTTCTTGTTAGGAGTGTCTTTCCTGGTCAGTCTAATGGCCAAAGTCAGGGATTGTAGTAGCCTGGAAAGTTCAGCAGCAGTGAGCAAAAGCCTTGCTCAGGAAGATGAGCTCTTCCAGCCAGGGAGAGTGTGTGAGCAGGCACTGCCCTTCCATTTGTAACAGGGACCTCTTCAAAGCTCTTGCTTAGGTTGAAAAGTTCAACCCGTGACAACTTCCTTTTATATCCAGGGAATTTTCCACCCTTCCCCATGAAATCCCCCTTAAATGGGCCATAAATACTCCTCTCCATTCAGGATCTCAGCACGGTGTTTGTTGCATTTAAAAGCTGCCTGGTGAGGAGCTTTGGTGCTGGGCACAAGGGCCCCCATGGCCCTGTGGTCTGGGGGCAGCTGGGGGGCTCAGCTCCCAGCTAGGGGGGCACTCAGCAGCTTTGGCCTCTGGCACAGGTGCAGGTGTCTCCCTTTGCTGAAATGTCCCAAATCCCAGGCTGGGTTCCCCCCTGGCTCTGAGCTCCAGATCCCAGGCTGGATTCCTTCCTGGCTCTGAGCTCTGATCAGATCCCAGGCTGGGTTCCCTCCTGGCTCTGAGCTCCAGATCCCAGGCTGGGTTCCCCCCTGGCTGTGAGCTCCAGATCCCAGGCTGGATTCCTTCCTGGCTGTGAGCTCTGATCAGATCCCAGGGCTGGGTTCCCCCCTGGCTCTGAGCTCTGATCAGATCCCAGGCTGGGTTCCCCCTGGCTCTGAGCTCTGATCAGATCCCAGGCTGGGTTCCCTCCTGGCTCTGAGCTCTGATCAGATCCCAGGCTGGGTTCCCCCCAGGCTCTGAGCTCCAGATCCCAGGCTGGGTTCCCCCAGGCTCTGAGCTCTGATCAGATCCCAGGCTGGGTTCCCCCAGGCTCTGAGCTCTGATCAGATCCCAGGCTGGGTTCCCCCCAGGCTCTGAGCTCTGATCAGATCCCAGGCTGGGTTCCCTCCTGGCTGTGAGCTCTGATCAGATCCCAGGCTGGGTTCCTTCCTGGCTCTGAGCTCCAGATCCCAGGCTGGGTTCCCCCCTGGCTCTGAGCTCTCTGTGCTCTCAGCTCGCTGTGCCTGCCCTGCCCAGGCTGTGCTGCCAGGGTGTGCAGGAGGCTGTGCAGGGACAGGAGAGCAGAGCAGGGCTGTGTGAGCCCTTCCTGTGCAGGATCCTGTCTGGTGTTGCCAAGGTGACCCTGCTCTGTCCCTGGCTCGGTGCTGCTGTAAGCACTTCCAGGCAGGAGGGCACAGCAAGTGTTGGTGTCTGTGCTCTGGGAGTGCTGAGCTCTGCTCTAGCAGCCCTGCCTCAGCCCTGCTTCAGCATTTCTGGGCTCTTTGGGGAGCCTGCAGGCCTGAGCCTGGGTCATGAGCCCCGCAGGATGCATTGGATGCATTCCTTGTCCAAAACCATCTTTCCACTGCCTTACCAGGAGCAGAGTCTGCTGAAGATGAGCGCTGCAGGTCTGGGGGGCACCTTAGCTCCTGTGAAACCTTTTGGGTTTTCCACAAAGGGCTCTTTTCCCACTATGTGTGTTGAAGATGAGAGGCTACAGGTCATCCTTTCTTTTACCTCCTGGGAATTCTGTGAATTTATTGGCTAATTTTTTTAATAGCTTGTTTTTCCTACATGTAAGCCATGACATTTTGCTCCGCATTAGCATCCCTGTGTGAGCTCCTGGACGAGATCTAAGTGGGGAGGAACTAAAAGCCCCTAAGGACCAAAAGCAGGCTCCAAATGCCCCTGGATGGAGCATGGATGATGTTACCCCACAACTTCCCCTGAGCCCCAGAGTCAGACTGTGCACCCAGGTCTGTCCCTCTGGGGCCAGGTTGGGCTGGAGTCCCTCTCCTGGTGAAGAAGGGAGATCTCTGGCACTCAGGAGACTCAGCTCTGTTTGGGAGGCTGTATCCAAGGGAACAGGCTTACCCACTGCTGGGAGAAGGGCAGTGCTGCCTGTTTGCTGGGATTAGCCAGAATTCTGTGAGCAGGGAAGAGGGGCTGCACAGCTCCAAAGGACAGAGGGGGCTGAGCTCTGGGCCCTTCCCTGCCAAGCACAGGTGGGAGGAAAAATCAAGTACAAAAAGCAGAGTAAGAGTCATCTTCATCTTCACACTTGAATTTATCCAGCCTTTTGTGGCATTTCTTCCTGCTCTGCACAGGTAGCTAGTGCTAATCAGCCTAATGAACTGGCTCAGGGCTGTGGTGATGAAGTGAGTTCTGCCGCCTCCACCGCCGATAAAATCACCCCACATTTTACAAATTGTGGCACTCTGATTGTGGTGGAAGCGTGTTAAAAATGCACTAGTGTGCAGCAACAGTGTTAATGGCAATTCTTAATACCACTTGTGGGTTGCAATCTGTATCTTCAAATTAGCCAGGGGAAGGAAGAATGGCAGATAAAACATCCGCTGTGGTTTGCTGCGCTGGTCTCTGCCTGCAGTAATCACCCTGGGCACGGGGAGGGAGAAGGATTAAAATTCACTCCCACTGCTAGAAGGTGAGATGAATTTCCTTGCAAGAAAATGGAGAGGGTTTGTTGACACAATTCTGGCACGTGTGTGTTGCTCCTGTGTGTGCATTTGGGGAGTGTGGAACTCACCTGCCCCAGCGCTGCTCGGTGGAAATGCAGGGATTGAACCAGGCAGAGGACAGGGGTTTTCAAAAACTGCTCACCCTGCCTGGAAAACCCCACCCAAAATAAAACTTCATGCCTGGCATGGAGCACTTTGTGTCTGTGGTGGACTTGATCTGGGAGATCTTTTCCAGCCTTAATGATTCTATGATTCTATAACCTTAGAAATGCCATCAGGCCAGTCATGCTGTGTCTCTGCCAGGGGTATTTTAATGTCCAGCTATTCCTGGATGTTCTCTAAGGAAAATAAGACTCAGCTCTTGCATTTCATGCTGATCTGTTTAGCCATATTAAAGGCAGGCTGCAAAATCTGTGTTTAATTGGAGTGATTATGTTTTTGTGTATTGTAGGCAAGACAATCCCTAGAATCACTGGGGTGATCCAGGGGTTCTTCTGGCTGTGGGCACACAAAGAACCAGCACCTGATAAACAAATACCCCTGGGGCAGCTTGTTTAGGTGACTTTTTTTTTTGGAAAGAAAGTGTTGGTGATCCTCTATTTCTGTACTACTGTATTCCTGCAGTCTTCTAAAAACCACGCACAAAACTTCTCCCAACATTCTGGCAGATCACTTCTGTCACTTTTCTTCACTGCTTAAAATTTCATAGAGCTGAAAATTACTGGGTCAATCTTGAAAGGATTCAGTAATTGGAAAGAAAGGGGAAAAAAGAGGGTGGTGTTATTTTGTTACCCTTGCAAAGTGCAGATAAAATCTGGAGTTCAGCATTAGTTATTGATCTTTGGGGGTGGAGGGAGCCTGGCAGGATGATGATGTCCTTCTAACTTCATTATGGAGAGGAGCTCCAGGAAGCATTTCAATGTGCTGGGCTGGGGCAGTGCCCTTGGGCTGTGCACAGGGTTTGCTGTTCCAGCAAAGCTGAGCAGAAGCCCCAGACCCAGCAGAGGCTGCACGAGGAGGAGCAGGGAGGGAGGCACAGTCACATCAGTCCAGGGCTGCCAGGGTGGCCTGTCCTGAGCTGGTCCCAGCAAGAGCTGAGGTGAGCCAGGAGAAGGGTGCAGTGGTTCCTCACCTCAGTGGGATGCCCTTGGTCCCAGCCCGGGTGATCCCTGCCCAGCCTGTGCCCATTCCCTGGCTCCCCGCAGCCTTCAGCCGCTCCAGGAGCTGTCCAGGGCCCTCAGCACAGCAGCCCCCTGTCTTGGATTCACAAAAAGCCTGAGATTTTGAGTGAGTGACCCCCCCAAGCTGTAATTGCAGGACTGAGTGTAATACTATATGTTTTTCAAAGCCGTCCAGCCCCCAGAGTTATTTTCACATCAATTAACCCTCTTGCACAGTTAAGGGTGGCAGTGGAGAGAGGAGGGAAGTGACAACGTGTGATTTGGACTCCTTTAATCTTAAAACTGAACAAAATTAATGCCAGGCAGGCTGTCTGCAGGGTACAGACAGCATCCTGGCTGTTGGGGGTTCAGATATGCCCAGGGATGGGTGCTGGCTGTGCAGAGCTCTGTGGTCACTCTGGGGCTGCTGCAGCCTCTGCAGGGCTCTCCTGTTCCCTGGGCTTGTGAGGGGCTGCCCAGGCAGGGGCTGAGCATCCCCTTGGCTGCCAGGTCCTTGCAGAGGGGCACCAGGACACTGCTGGTCCCTCGTGTGGCATCGTGCTGTGCCCAAGGGTGGGGGTTTATCTGAACCCACAGAGCTCAGAAAGGCTGGTGCTCCCCACCCCACAGCACAGGGGGGCTCTCCAGCCTTGCCAGGGGCTCTGCTCTCAGGGAAGAAGGGGAGGGTTGAGCTCCATGGCTGTGCTGTGTCCATCCAGCAGATTTCAGGGCGTGGGTGTAATTGTCCAGGTGGAAGCAGTTGGCACAATGGTTGTGTTTCTTGGGAGAGTCAGGAGTGATGCTGTTAGGGAGACATTGGCTGTGCCTTGGCAAAGGAGGAGGCTTTTCTGAGGAGAAAAACAGCCTTTTGTGTTCTGTCCAGCTGCCAAAACCTCGGTTCTGGAGCTGATCTCTGAAGTTATAATTGACATTTTTATAGATGAGATATAAATATAATTAAGTCACTGCAATTATTTGTTTATCGCCATCTCCCTCAAGTCAAGCAAGGTCATGTGCATTTAAGAACTCGTCCCCAGGCAGTTTTGAGAAAAGAGTAGTTAAAATATATAGAAATAATTGCCTAATTTGGTCATTTTGAGTGTAGCTTTTCTTGGCAGCAGCTGGCT